CGAGTGTTTTGAATAGCTTAAAATACGACTACAAAAGAATACTAATTAGGATGAACCATAGTATAATATGCTAATTAAGATGAACAATTATATAATGCAACATGTGTTTTATCAGATATACAGTCACTCCACGTGACATATTATGGCTGACATGATTTGCCACAAGGTTTATGAATTATTAATGAGTATTTTAACGTCATTTAACTCTATGTAATTATATAACAAGATGGTTTTGGTTCCAAATATTGCAAAAATTAAGATAGTTTGAAAAAATTTGCAAAACCAATACGTAAATAATCTTAACACTCTTTCAAATATGTCAAACAAATTTCCGTTGCCATTTTCCTTTAATTTCTATATGCGAGGGAATTTTACATTTTACATACAATTGTAATAATATTCGACGCTATATGGAAATGAGTTAATTTGAAGAAGGACTTACCGCGAATAACTCCTGAACTTGCTTTTGAACCTGCTTTTGAAAAATGCACTGTGAAGCTGCAATATGCTAGTCCGTAAGCGGCGGCTTGAAACATGTCGATAGCCAGCACAAACCATGGTACCCGTGTGAAGGACAGAGCCAAAAAGGACAGAGCAAACAGAAACAACGCGATACATATAGCCTTCAGCTCACCGATCCTTTTCAGCAACTCGCAAGACAATAGCATCCAACCAGCCAGGATTGGTCGACGAACTAACCCAGCTATACCCAATACTAATGGACTTGCAGACAATCCGTCCAAATACCAAAACTCCCAGTTTATCTGAAACGCTACAGGAATTGCGGTAAAAAAAAGAATGCAAAACATGAGCGCGAAATGGACATTGCATAATGCTGATTTTACTTCTGACCAGTTAATAGTTTCATTTTCGTTGTATTCATACCGAAACCATGGCAAAGAAAGCATTGAAAGTAGTGCCATACAGCCTGCAACGATGTACGCTGTAAAATAACCATAGTCTTCTGTCCCACAGATGTTAATTTTGATAAACCATGCCAACATAGCGACAGTGAATATCGAAATGCCACCACCAATATGGCTCCACATAAAATATGCACCGTAATTTGCTCTGCGCTCTTTAAGGTACGTAATGGTCGCCAAATCTGCCAGAGCTATGACAATTTGATGTGGAAATTGAAATGCTACCCTGGACACAACCATTAGGAGAAATAGAGTGCTAAACCATGGAACATTTTCAGAATAACTTGTCAAAGTGTTTGTGGGTAGTGTTCCGCGCTCCGAGTCGCCTAATTTGTCGGTTAAGTTATTTGCAAGAAACGAATTTCGCGAAATCACTGAACCATTGATAGAATGTCCAGATGTCAACGCCATCGATTTGTTTGATTTTACGCAAAAAATTGCTGGTGGCGAAACTGTTAAAGGAAGGAGCGGGAGAAAATAACATACTACCAGAAAAACTAATCCAATAGTAACCAAAAATTTTCGCACCCGAAATTTGTCGCCAATGAATAGACATGATGGTATGAATAAATTCGGAACTCCCATAAGATTTGTAAATCCAATTTGCCGTGGACTTAAACCAAGTTGTTTCATGTATATATTACTGAATTCTGAGTATAGAACCAAACTTCCTACGGACCAGAAGTAATACCATTTTAGAACGATGGATTTGATCGAAAACCTCTCCATAATCTCAAGAACTTTGAAGTTTAAGTATATCACTGATTACTACCTTCGCACTTGAAATGACTATTGTAAAATGGAAACAAAACTAAGCTTTGTGTTAAAACCTGGAATCGGGCGACGGGGAATTGCATGGAAAACGTAGAAACTTAAAGCGCAAATTTGTAAAACCATTCCAAAACTGCCTGCAGCGTCAGTCGATCTAATAATAATATGTACTTTATTTGACGTGTTTCTTTTTATAGGCTACAATTTGAAATTTGCGATTGGTGTTTTGCGGTAAACATCAATCTAGTGATTTAGGAACACGCACATTATGCCAGCATTTCTTTTAGCATAATAGAAAACCCTTTTGAGATCATAATAGGCAAAAAGCGAGCATAATGGGCAAATGTTTCGGTATTACGTCATTTTTTGTGATCTGCTGTACAGAAGGTGTTCCTGGTGCAGCCTTCATCTAGAATAGCTGCAGAGCAAGTATTCTCATTACTAGGTCAAACACTTGCCGACCAGCAACAGAACGTGCTAGAGCAAGGGAGCACGCCAGAAATATTTGTGTAAATTTATACTAACCTTTTAATTACATGTAAATGTTTTCAATTTTCATCGGGCGCCATTTTGAATGTTGAAAGCGGTATATATTATTAGCTTATCGCAGGCGCAATAATTTATGTTCATATTTGACATTAATTTATGTTACACGATGATACTCCGAAGGGCGACCGAGAAAGATCCGAAATTTAAAATAAGGCGGAGTAATAATAAAAAATAAAGAGGGGAGTGAAACGGCCGAACACGTGATGGGGTATTGGCCAATCACAATGCGTATATCCAATTTCGTTATCTGGCCATGCTCGTTGACCAAGAACTGTCGAATCTGAAATATTTCAAAACTTGTATTGATTTGCATCGTTGCTCGTCAGCAGTGAATTTTCGACAGCAGAGAAACAAAAACATTTGCGAATGCTGGACACAAAATACAGTATTAATAATTCATGAAGGAAATTCAAAAGAAATGAATGTTTAATCAATGTATGTAAATCGATCGGATAATAGATTTGTAAATTGTCCTCATTTACATAAACTTCAGCTTCGATTTTCTCGGCTTAGACAATGCTTATTTTTAAAATTACTTCGTCAATGAACTCATATGATGGGTCGTCTTTTAAGCACGTTAAAACACGAGCAGCCAATGTTTATCTGATATACAAACTCTCGCCATTGTCCCCAACTTTAATAATATATTTCAATGTAACTCGCTTGAACTAATTATAGTAGGTCAAATATAAAACAACGGTAAATCCGAAAATAATAAAAAAAGGCTATCATTCCGCTGATATGGCGATTCCTTTGACGACTTCAATATATTTCTGAATCATTTGAGTGAATTGCTCCTTATTATTAAAATATCCAAAATTAGAACAAAGCCGAACACAAGTTAGAAACTGACGTCTTTAGCTATGTCCTGTGAAAATTTGAGAAACGTTCATTAAAATCCACAGGAGAACAACAGTTTGAAAATCACTAATTGCCGTAAAATTCTTCGGGAGAAAATTGAATTTGAATGTTATATTTTCAATGTTTTTCTTACTGCAAGCGAAATGTATTTTATTAAATAACTCTGCGAGTTTTCAACATTTTTCGTCCAAACTTGGTCAGATAGTAGAACTAATCTAATGCTTTCATGGAAACCAATAAAAAAAAATTTAGGCAAAATTAACACTCAAAGGTGTTCTGTAACCTTAACTAGTATGCGCATTTGATCATATGCTATAACATGTTAATTTGCGCAATATAAATATTAAATATTATTCGTATTATAGTTATATCACCAACTAACTTACATTTAATATGGCTCGATACATTAATCCACACCAAAACGTCGTCCTGTATAAACGAACCTGCGCGACCATTTGTGCATGTATTACCAGAATATTAACGAAAGGACTTTTCTGATGTGACGTGGCCACTTGCTTACGTCATCTCGCGCCGTTGTACGTGATTTATAACCGGGTTGCGTGACAATTACCCTGGATTCCAGAGCCTTCGACAGTAAACAATAAATTGAAATGTCGCGAAGGCTCTAGTTCAACGGGGCGATTAAACCGTACAGATTCTGTACTAAAACCACTAATTCTGTTTTGTGATTGGCACGGTTTAATCAAAGAATCGCCCCGTTGAAACAGAATTAGTGGTTTTAGTACAGATTATGTACTAAAACCACTAATTCTGTTTTGTGATTGGCACGGTTTAATCAAAGAATCGCCCCGTTGAACCAGAGCCTTCGCGACATTTCAATTTATTATTTACTGTCGAAGGCTCTGGAATCCAGGGTACGTGACAATTGCAAACGTCATTAGAAATTCCAATTTTTTAGAAAAAGTGCACTATACATGTCATTATCTATATTTTGCCTGCTAACCTACAGTATGCTGAAATTTTGCATGCTGTATCACTGCAAAGGTTTTCAATATACCAAAAATAAAATATTCTGTAATGCCAATAAAATTATCGAATAAAACGGCATTTTTGCGGATTTTTGAACAAATGGCATTACACAGAATTTTTTATAGCTATATTGCTTATCACTAGGTTATGATCTAAGTAAAATAGTGACTGAAAAAAAATTACAACTACACAAAGCAATACGCTATTTCAAATTGAATTTTGCATGCGTGTCTTACCATAGCAACGAACTATGTGTTACCAAGACTGCCATAATTTACCGACAAGCTTAATAGTATTCGTTTCATTGCGCATAGACGGTACACGTGATTTATTTTGCTACGAAATCATGCGAAACACTTTCTTTGCCCTCGCGAAACCGTTTATTTCTCACGTAGACGTTATAATATGTGCCCAATTGTGGGGAAATTATTCGTGTCCGACGCATGCACCCAGGGCCGGAGCTACGGTGTGTGTGTGTGTGTGTGTGGGGGGGGTGAGACCCCCTGACAAACTCACACCTTCGACGTTCTCTATAGCCCCCTTAATCCAAAAATGGCTCCGTAGTTGACCTTCATCGGAAATTCCGCAGTTTTAATTTGACGAACTGGCCTGGCACTGAAAGTGTAGAGTACACTCTCGTTTACGTATGTGCACTCTATATTTTTTGCGTCATTGTACTCACGTGTAATCTCGTGATTGTATTTCCATCTACAAAATCCTGACAATTATTTTTCAGGGGCATAAAGTGAACAAAACACATAAACACATTTTGTTCGTAAAATCAAAAGATTTGGGAGTGCATGACAGTGTCGATTTTTTATGTATTTTTTATCCTCCTCACAGTGCATTTTTTATGCATCTTTTATCCTGCCCCCAGGATAGTATGCGATCGCCGAGTATCGTAGGCGCGAGGTAGCTAGGGGCATCTGGGGGCATGCCTCCAGGAAATTTTTAAAATTTGGGTCTCTGAAATAGCATTTCCTGCATTCTGAGAACACATTTAAAAAAAATCTCAGCTTCTCAAAACACAGGCGACCCAATCTCGCAAGGGTCAGTATAGTAAATTTTGTAAAAATATGTCATAAACTGATATAAAATGAAATTGACTTGCCCACTTGATAGTGTGTATTCTCCTTTTATTCCTCTTTTGTTGGACTAATATTCTCCAAAGTCTCGGAAAATATTAGTCCAACAAAAAATAATAAAAGGAGAATACACACTATCAAATTTCATTTAAAATTTATATTTTATGACATATTTTTACAATAAAATACACTACTATACTGACCCTTGCGAGATTGGGCCTCCTGTGCTCAAAACAAAGCTTTAATAGTGAAATTTGTAATAAATAAGTTTTTAATCAGTGTCACTCAAATTATTTATCTTCTTTCCTTCCTATCCAACTGGGGTTAGATAATTTGCCGACTACCTGGCGACTGGGGGTGTTCCAACACCCACACCCATCCACCACCCACCCGTTTAGCATTCACAGTTGAGAATGTGAGAGGATATGAGAAAGCAGGCAGCTGATGCAGCTTTTTCAACAAGGTTGACTTTTACTAATGATCGAAAGGGCCCAGTTCATCTGAGAGTCTTGTTTCACTACTGGGGCAAACAAAGGGCCTACTGGGGTAAAAAACCAGTAGTTATATAGTTATAAAATGCCCTGGTGCATGATCATGCATTTTATGCTAAGCATGGTATCCACTAGTATAAAAGTACGGCAAAACCACAGCTTTCATGGGACCAATAGATCATTGAGGAAATTTTCTTTGTTTTGTTTTAAATACTTTATTGGATAGTGACCAAACGGTAGGAGTGCGAACGGGACTCGAGGTCCCATGCGAGACACTCCTCCGATTAAAGATACAACAGAAAACATGCAATACATATAGAATACAATACATAACTACAGTCATAAATGAACATATGCTCGAAAAACAACTAAGATTAAATGATGCTTAAGAATTTAGTGATAGCAACAATACTTTGAATTGGCAGCATGAGCTCCACCACCCCCCCGAATTCATCACATGAGCAAATTCCCAAACACGCCCGAACTCAACACCATGACAGATCCGCGGCAGATTTCGGGTTTGTCATAAAATAAATAAATTCGCGGCACCTAACACTAACCTCAAACCTAACCACTAACCTTAATTTTTTTTAAGTTTTTTGAAAATATTAAAACTTTTTTGTTTTTTTTAATTTTTTTTTAAAAAACTATTTTGTTGAGAATC